GCCGCGGAAGCCGTGCGCCTCGGCGCTCTGCTGCACCAGCTCCAGGCAGCTCAGGAAGAGCCAGCTGCGCTCTCGCGCCTCGCGCGGCCCAGCGCCTCGGCCTCCGCCTCCGATTAGTTCCGACCCCCGCAGCGCGGCTAGCGCTCTCTTCGGAAATCCTTGCTTCCGCGCCGCACGACACCGCCCCAGCTCTCTTCTGCCCTGCCCGACCTTCCGGAGCTCTGGTTTTCCAGACACGCGAATTGGTCCTTCCAGAAGCTCTTCTATCTCCGTGACCGCTCGGCAACTTTCGGTCAACAGCGTCTCACTTTCGGCTTTCCCCAGAAGCTGGTTGGTGATGCTCAGACTTTGGGAGCCTGCTCTAAGTTGGAGACATTTTAGGGTCTCCCTTCCCTCCACTACTCTACCCTTCTCTCCTTTTTCTCTCCTTACCCTTCTCCCTTCATTTTCTTTTTTCTTCTTTTTTGAGCAGGGTCTCACTGTGTAACCCAGGTTAACATCGAACTCATGATCTTCTCCCTTCAGTCTATGGAAACATGCTCTTTAAGTCAGGTGGGAATGAACAGGGCCAAGGAAAAACACCCTGACCCTGACTTGGGAACAGGGATTGAAATCCCACTAATCCTAGATGTTCCTGAGTACAAAACCCCACCAATCCCTGACCATGTAATCCCACCAATCCCTGAGCCCCTGTGCACAAAAATCCGCCAACCCTAAGCCACCCTGGAAAACTCTGTACCCGCCCCTTCCCAGAAATCCTATAAAGATCTGTACACTGTTCAGTTTTCTGTAGTCTCATCCCAGAGGCAGCCACCCTCCTGAATTCTTCCTTCCCCAAAAATTTCTTGCGTGAGGTTTGTTGTGTGGTATGACATTTTCTTCCGAGAGAAGCCCAGCTGTAACAACTTTCTTTGGAGCCTGAGCCAGCGCAGAGCCAAGTAGAATGGTAACAGTTACCTAACTGAGCAGAGTTGTTACACTCAGGGGAACCTAAGCAGAGCTGTAACACTGTAGCTGCGGAAACTTTCCCTTAAGCAGAACAGCGCTGTAACACTTCACTGGACCTGAGCAGAGCCAGAGCCATAGTAGCGTCACTGGGAAACCCTCCCCTGCTGGGCAGAGCTGTTACAGCGGGGGAAACCTTTGCCTGGAGCAGAGCTGTAAACTGCTATGCTTACAGTGACTTTGTGGCATTCCTTGCCTCCCGACTGCCAGGATACATCACTGTCCAAACTGCAATGCTTGCAGGGAGGAAGGGACTAGGCAGAGCTCTCTACCCAGATGCCACCAGTGTCTGGCATCAGCGTGACAGCAGCCAGCACCATCCCTCTGTGTTCGGTTTCCTCATCTTCAAAATGAGGATGCCTGGTTCTGCTGGGGCCAGGGTTTATCAGATAAAAGAAGAGAGTGATTATGCAATGCCAGTGGACAGGGGCCCTCTTCACATGGCCTCTCCCCTCCCTGCCTCTGCCCTACGCTCCTTGGGGTCCTGTTGAATATACAGAAGAGAAGCCCTTTGGACCAGGGTTGCTATGGCACCAGCATCCTGGCTCTGTGGTCCCTGGGTTTCGTTCATACTATGAAGGGACCCTTTTCACACATCAGACCCTTTGTGTGGAGAATGTTTTCCAGCAAAGCTCATCCCGAACCGGTTCCCTTTATTTCCCCAGTGCTCAAGTTTGTAGCTTCATTATCATAACTGTTTGTGTCCACACGGTCATTGCTATGGTGACCAAAACCATCTGACCCTTTGCCTTAGAAATCTACCGTGCAAAGGCGCTGACCAGAGCCAGGCTTGCTAAGTCAGACTGGGTTTAGCTCTTTAAACCCGAATCAAATGTTCAATGGCTCGTCACTGTGCTGAGGATAAAGTACCTACACCTTAATTCAGCCCATGAGGCCCTGCAGGGAGCTCCTGCATCTCTTAGAGACTGCTGCCTCCTAATCTCTGCTGAGAGGGCAGGATGTCTCAGCCCTGAACTTAGTGCACTGAGAGCTGAGCCAAAGTGCCCAGTACTGCTGGTACAGTGATGTACATGGCAGGGCATCTTGTATTATTTACCACTACAGCAACAACCAAACGACACACTTAAAAGCCAGGGGAAATTATGCTAGACACAGTCACATGGGGGCTCATGTAAGGCCATTCGAACTTCTATCCAGATGCTGCTCAAATCCTCCCTCTTCTGTGCCAGGTCTCTCCAACAGGAGTCACCTGAGGAACCGGCACCTGCTATCTGCACCCCTCAGTAGAGAGTGACCCTCCTTCCTCAGTTTTCAATGGTGGCCATCGAAGTCCCTGAACACTTCTCATAGTTCTGGAGATCAGCACTGTGGGTTGAATCTTCTTGGGGGAGAGACCAATGTTGTCAGGAAGGCTGCTTGGTCGTTCTGGCTGCTCAACAGTTCAGACTCAAAATAACCACACAGAAACTGTATTATTTGCAATACTGTTTGGCCAATAGCTTAAGCATATTTCTGGCTAACTCCTCCATCTTACATGAACCCATCTCCACTAATTTGTGTATCATCACGAGGCTGTGGCTTACCAGGTAAAGTTCCAGCATCTGTCTCCAGCCGGACTACATGGCTTCTCTCCCACTCCACCCTTCTTTCTCCCAGCATTTAGTTTTCCCCACCTAGCTCTGCTCTACCCTATCACAGGCCCAAATCAGCTTTTTTATTAACCAGTGGTATTCACAGCATACAGAGGGGAATCCCACATCAGGCCAAGGTGCTAACAGTGCTGTCCCTTTCAGGATGCTCTGGGGACCATGTTTCTTTACCTTTTTTGGGGGGAGGGGTTTCTAGTGCCTGGAAGCCTTCTTAGCATACAGGAGGAACTCAGTAGATTCAGGCTCAGTTAATCACTTAATCTAAGAATAAATGGATAAAGGAAACATTCCACTCTGGTGTGAATCAGGTCTACTTATCAGCACACCTTTACCTGCTCCACACTGTTGGTTCATAGATACACACACTTCCCAGATGTGATTAGGGAGTCTCAATCCTGATGCTCTGGTTAGATCTCTCTGGAAAGAGAAATTCTTTATTTATTTTTATTATTACTGTTTGTTGCTTTTTTTGAAATAGCGTCTCTAGGTAGCTCTGGCTGTCCTGTGGCTCTCTACTTAGACCAGGATGGCCTTGAACTCACAGAGATTAGCCGGTTGCCTGTTGCTACATCCCTTGTGCTGAAATTAAAGGTCTGCACCACCACACCTGGACTGGAGAAATTCTTTCTTATTAGGAAAGTAAGCTATGGGAATATGAGTCTGGGTTACCCCAGAGACCGGCCTGAGAATAGGCAGGGAGGATTACTGTGTGCTGATAATGCCCCTTGGGACTGGATACAGCTGTGCCCGAAGCAGGTTTCAAACACAAGTGAACCAAGGCATTTCTACTTTTCTTCCATCACTTTACGTCTCTGTTACTTGCAATTTAGAGCATGTCATCTCCAGGATGACAGACAGGTGGACCAGCGCCATTGACAGATGAAAGAGAGAGCCCCCAACCTCACATAAGCGAGGGAAGTTGCCTGTGGGCCATGCCAGAGGTGCCCCGAGTTGCAATGGAAGTTCCAGGTGTCAACCAAGCAAAAGGAAATCCTCTGATGGGCCAATCTCGTTTAGACAAGTCCACAGAACTACAGACCCCAAAAAGAACGTCTTTTGCTTCTGCTGTGCCTTTACATGTTTGCTGTGGCTCTCTTTCTCTGATGTCTAGCATGGTGAAAGCGCATGTGGGGAGACCTCCACTGCCTGTAGTGTGTTTATCTCTAGGAAACATCCCATTCTACTGGGCATTTTTACCTGTGGATTGTCAAGAAGATGACCCCTACCTAAGCTGTACTGTCGAATTTGATAATAATAATGATAACCTATGCAGAGTTTTGAGGAATAAAAATAAATACAAGGATATGTTTTACAGCCAAGGTCCATGAGTCTCACCTAAGGAGTCCGGATTGTCGCTCAAGTTAATGACTAACAATTGAGTCCCAGTAGCCCAGCTAGTTTACATTCTTTTAACCAGGTCCCAGAGTGCATCACAGCTGAAACAAAGCTGTGAAAACAGCAAAGTTAGACTAAGATGTTTTGCTAAATAACTTCGAGGTGAAAAACCCAAGAAGACAATCTGAAGTTCCAGAAAGGCACACAGTTGAATGCGGGACTCTTTAAGGTCAGGGAACAAGAACAAAGCAGCCCAATTATTACTGGCTGATGTACTCTCCTTGCTAGGTTTGGTTGATGCTCAAAGGTGATGATTAATTCCTTATACCCATTTCTGTCTGTGGGAACCAGCCATGGTAAGCTAAGTATGGACAGGTCACCCAAAAGAAGTTCTTTATTTCCAATCATTATCACCTGTCAGAGTAGAACTCTGGCCCTCGATAAATTTGATAAGAGGCCCGAGTCTTAGTAGCTTACCCTGAAGCAATACCTGGTAGTAGGAAAGAACCACAAGCTGAGATATTCGACCATCACCCAAGAGTAGACCATTCGAAAAAAAATGCCTAACATTCCACCTGCTGTCAAATAGACTCACCTGCCAGCGCACC